GGGCAGATCATATTTTAAAATTTGGAAAAATTGTTTGAAATAATAACATAATTTCAAATGATAATGATTTAAATGACAAATCATTTCTTCTGAAGAAGCAGAGTGTTGAAGACTATGAATTTACTGAACTTCGATGGTTTCACCTGATCTCAAACATCACAAAGGACAATAAAACATTCCACACTTGCTCTTTTTTAACCTCAATCAAAACTCTTCCATTGGGTCACATGTTGTGTTCCACAAAGTCTGACATGAGAAATCTGACTCAGACACATTTAATAGTTGAGAAAATAATAGATAACATATGTAAGGAAGATATTTTGCAAACAGTTAGGAATCATCTCCAGGCGGCAGCAGCTGGTTATCTGTGTGTAGTCGAGCCAGCTTGTGCCGGCTTAAAAAACACAATAAACCTTATCGGCAAGTTTCCATAGATCAGATTCATGTCCTGATCTGCATGTGGCAAGACACACAAGGACGTCTACAGAAGGGCCTATTGATAAGGAGCTCTAAAGTTTGACAGGGTCGATGACCAGGGAACAGTGAGTGCTACTGTTCCTCAGCAGTTTCCTCTCAGGTGTTGAAACTTATCCCAAAGTGATTTTTTCTTTCTAGAGAATCTCACAGAAGCTCTTTATACCAAGTCTCCAGCTCCTTTTTTTTTTACAAAACCCAGTGAAAAGGTCAAATGTGTTTATTCTCTAAAATGTGTTTTTGGCTCAAATGGCTGTAAAACAAATGTGATTTTAATTTATAATCACCATTTACAATAAATACACAACCTGTCCAAGTGTGTACACTATGGCATCTACATTTAACTAACCTCCAAATCCTGGTGTTACCGTTGCCGCTCTTTGTTTATCAATGTTTGTTTCAACTTACAACTGAATTAACACTGTCCAACGTGGACAAACTGGATATCAAATAGCTTTCAGGAGATCATTTCTGTGGCCCTCCGCTCCTCTGAAACTGATCCGGTAGAGGAAGATTAGGAGTGGCATGTGTCCTGTAATCTGAGTCACATGCAGCGAGAGGACGAGTTAGATATCTGTCAGAAACAGGACTAATGATGCACGGTCATTCTCTCAGGCTGCACAGGATGTTACATGGTGATGAGAGGTCGGAGTGAGCGACTGAGCCATTTAGAAATCTACATAATAATCTTATAATCATACATTACTTGTCTAAGCAATCACAAAACCCAGTGAAGTAGTTTTACTTAACGAATAAACATTATTTATCCTTTGTGATAAATGAACCTTTGTTCCCAACAATATGAGTAAAGAGAGACTGGTAAAAGCTTTAAATTCATTTCTAAAGACTTACATTTTTACCCAAAAGTAACATTACACTGACTCAACCTTTAATTTATTGTTTTTCCCCTTAGAAATTACGTTTTAATTACCTGATCATGTTGTTTTGAAAAGTTATTTTGGGAGCTTCATCGTCTCAGCTGTTAAAACAAAAGTTAACAGGTGATGTTATCTATGTTTTTAGAGTTAAGGTTGAGGTAATTCTAACCTTAACCCAAACATAACCCTGACAACTCTACACAATAGTTGCTTTTTGCCTGACCCTACCAAACCCGATGTAAGTCTACCACACACACACACACACACACACACACACACA